GAAGCCCTGAGTTTTCAGGCGGGGCTGAGGCCACTAGGGGAGTATTGTGTTGGGGTGTCTGTGTGTGAGAGATCTCCCTCAAACTGTACTGCCTGCCCGTCGCCTGCCCCTGAGGACTCCTTGTGGCCCCTCTGGTGGCCACACCCCCAAAGTGTTAAGGACTTGGAGAAGCACAGTCAGAGAAGAAAACAGACCCAGAGCATGCGGCAGTGAGTGGCCTGTGGACTGGCCCGAGCAGTGTATACGCCACCCGAGCCAGGCTTCCTGGGGGACTAATTTTTTTTTTTTTTTTTTTTTTTTTTTACCATTGCACAGCTCTGCCCCACGAGGGGCCTTTTTTACACACTGCGAGGCCCAGCTTTCTGGGGGGACTTTTGCACATGTCATGCGGCTCAGCTGGGAGCCGCTTAGGTGGAAAACTCCAAATAAAGTGCGGCCTGTCGCAGAAGTTTGCCTGTTTCTTGTGAGTGTGCTCTCTCTGGCTGGCCGCCTTCTGGCCCATTAACACTAAATGAGACCCTGGGGAGGCAGAGGCTGTATGACTGTCCCCTGGAGGACTGACCCAGGCCTAGTGGAAGGGCCTGGGGCAGAGGTGGGGTCTGGGATGTTGGCAGAGTGCTTGAAAGAGCCAGGGGCGGGGGCTCAGGGGTTGGTCCTCAGACAGCTAGAGGGTTGGTGGATGGTAGAGGGGTGGACACCATGTTCTGCAAGACTGCCCTAGGACCAGAAGAGGGTCAGTTTCAGTGCAGCCTGACCTCAAGGATGTTTTTCAAATTAAGACCTTAAAACAGTGAGCACTGACTCAAACAAGAATGTTCCTCAACCAACAGGCAGGCAAAACTACCTGCAAACCGAGGAACCTCCCCTCCAGCCAGTTCCTGGGCCAACCTGGGCTGCTCTGTCCCCACCTTTAGCACTGATCTTACTCAGGGCCTCCCTTCCAAACTCCTGCACCAGCCTCTTAACTAGTCTCTCTGGCCCTCGCCAGACCCCTCCATTCCACCCTCCATGCTGCAGCTAGAAGGGGTCACATTAAAGCAATGCTGCCCCTCTCCAGTTAGGGTCCTCTGTGGCTCCATCCTGTTCCAGGCTAAAGTCTCCTCTCCCTAATGAGGCCTCCAAGGCCCCCAGGTTCAGATAGCAGCCGTCCCCACCCCTCCCCCATGTGATTTGGGCAGCGCGCCCACTCCCCATCACACCCTCCTCCTCCAACCCCTCTTCACCGCCTCTAGTGTCCGAGGCACCCATGCTTCAGTTTGGGCCTCTGCCCGGAAACACCCTTGCCTCTCCACCCTCAACTTTCCAGCTAACAGGAAGCTTTCCTGGACCTCTCCCTGCCCCTCTTGGACCAGTGCCCCCAGCTCCCATACGGCCCTGGGGCACATCTCTGGCTTCATTTACTATCCTGATCTGTGACCATGTATTCACCATTCCCCTACCAGACTGAGCTCCCTGACCCTGGGAGGCTAATATAGCTGTGAATGAATGAGCAACTGACTAGCCAGAGCAGGGCAAAGAAACATTTCCTTCAATTGATCACCCTAGACCCATCCCCGCATTTCAGCACATACTGTGGGTCCTCGCCACCCCTTCACCCAGCAGCCTATCTCACTCCTCCCTCACACCTCCCTGAACACCCCTCCTCTGCCCTCCCTCCCCCTTGCCTCAGATATGCCCAGTTTTCCCCAGTGGTTTGAAAGGGAAGAGAGAAGAGTGGCCCTTTCTCCTTCAACCTGGTTGTCTCACAGAGCTCACTCCCTTGGGAATGTTACTCCCATCCATCTGCCGCACAGGCTGGAAACCTAGCAGTTACCTGGGTCTCTCTCTACCTCACTCCCCCAACACATCTGATCCAAAAACCAGTTTTATCCATTCTGACTCTAATATCTCCCAGCTCCATCTGCTTCTCCACACTCCCCACTAGCCCTACCCGAGTTCCGGCCACCATCATCTCTCACTACAGTGGCACCCAGTTTGGTTTCTCCTCCTTCAGTCTTGCCTCTGCACATAACATAATCACAGTGACAACTCTAAAACATAAGTCTGGCAATGGCACCCTCTTGCTTGAAGTCCTTCAGTGGCTTCAAAATAACTTCATTCTCACGGTAACTTCTAGATTCTTTAACTTGAGGGCCCATATGCCCTCTAGTCACGAAGGCTTTGCATATGCTGTTCCTCCGCCCAGAACACCCTCTTGTCCTGTTTCCAACCACTTGATCTTCCTGGTCCCGCAGCCCTCAGCTTAGATGCCACGCAACCTTCTCGAGGAAGTGTTGAGCGGCCCCCTCCCCCTGGGTTACTTATCATGCACATGTGCTACACTTTAGCAGTTAACACGTGGCTTTGTAATTGCCTGTTCCCTTGACTCTACCTACTAGTCAGTATCATTAACTTGTTCATGCCTTTATAATTGAACAAATATGTATTGAGTAATTAACTACGTGTCTGTTAGGTTTGTTCTAGGTGGGAACCCAAAAAGTGTGTATACGACAGAATGTCCTAATTAATTGGCTTACATCAAATATTTCATTAAAAACAAAATAGAAAGTAACTTGTGAGTAACAGATGTAAAGAGGCAATGAGTGTGGGAATATATTTTTGGTAAGAAAGGATCTTGTATGGAACTTTTTGTTCTAAATGGTTATTTAAAAAATGGAAAAATTAGGACAAAACAAAGTTTTATACATGTTTGGTAAATGGTCTGTGCAGGTTGGAATAAAGTTTTATAAAGGGAATTTAAGAAGAAATTTAATATATGATAAAACAAAATTTTTTTTAAATATTAATTTGCTCTTATAAATATCTGCCCCAAGGCTGTGTGAAATCCCTAAAGTTCTAGTAAGCCTTGATATATTATCAATAACTATATATACTAAATTATGTGTCACAAAAATAACCAAATCTCCTTTACATCTGTAACCATGACTATTGTGAAATCTTTACCATCCACAGATGGTGGTTGTTTTGCTCCAATTCTTCCTACACAGCAGTTTACGATCAACTGCAGTCCAAGATTTGCTTCTTTGGAAAATGTCATGGAAAAAACTAAAAATTTTAAGACTTTTTAATACATTAATTCTCTTGTTTTGCTTTCCAAAGCCATTGAAGTAGTATTAAATAAATAACAGGGTTATCTCCAGGATTTAAACTATTAAATTCTACCTGGCCCAACCTTATTTATCCTCTCTAGGGCTAAGAGCTATTACAAAAGAGACAGGTGTATAAAATTGTAAAAACTGATTTCAGGAGATAAAAATTAGTAAATTTGTTTTGGTTCCCTGGTCTTTCTCCACTACCCCCATCTGGTGCCTACCTGCCAGCAGTAAAACTCACTGAACTGCTTCTTAAAAGGACCACAGCACTTACAGCCTACAGACTAGATTTTACTCAAGGATTTCCCAGAACAAATTAAACCTCCTTCAACCTTTTAAATAATTCTCACTGCTTCTGCCACCACAACTAAGCTTCTGGAAATCCCGTCTGAGAGTCATCTCTCAGGACTCAAAACTGTAGGCCCTCCAGAACCACCCACTGTGAGCTCCCTGAAAGTCCAGCCCATCATGGATACCAGGCTCTGATAAGATGCTGTGGTATATAAAGATCTCCGCCCGTTTTCCCAACTTCTGAGTTCATTTTACATAATAATTTAATTTTAACCACAAAAAAGGGAGACTGTTAGGGTGGCCTTAAATCTCCCAATTTTCTCATGACAGCTAAAGATCAATTCTGAACTCTCCCTACTCTTTACTATCTCTCTCCCAAACTAGCAGGCAACCTGCTAGGACTCTGTTTTCACAAACATCTAAAAAGAGCCCAGAAAAGAAGTGCAAATCTCTTTACATTTCCCCAGCTCACAGCTTTTAGAATTTGTTTTACAGCCCCAAGGTGTTCCTGAAAATCTCCAGGACAGACTGCAGGGGGGTGAACTCCAGGCCTTTGTTTCCTGCCTAAAACCAAATCTCAGGGGCAAAGATCACACACATCCCCTGTAATGGGCCTGACTGCATTTCAATGACCAAATCTCCAAGAATAGAAAAACAAGCAGTTAGAAAGGCAACGACGCCCACTTCCCAATCTTTCTAATTTGTACCCTTTTCCCACACCTTACCCTTTCTTTTCTTACATATATATATATATACACACACACACACACACACACACACACAAAGTGTGGAATGTTAGGTTTGTTCCAGGTGGGAACCCGAAAAGTATGTATAGGAGAGAATGTGGTTAATGCAAAACTTAGGCTTGAAAAACAATAGCCGCAGGGGTCTGGGGAGTCCCCAGACTTTGTAGATCTAACAGACAGCTGCAGCCAGCACTCCTTCCCCCTCCCTCCCTGATAGAGACGAAGGCTACCCTTCCCTAGCTCTCCTGATAAGGACGATGCCAGAGCAGAAGGATGAAGGTGACTGGGGCAAAGGGGTCATAGGAGTTGGTTGTTTGAAAAAGAATTTACCACAAACAGCTGTTCTGCCCACCGTTCTCTGCCATACGGGAACTGCACGTAGCAGGAAGCAATTCTTCACCTGCCAGTTTGGCCCCAAAACAAAGACCTGAACAAGGCACGTGGGAGGGCGTCGGCTATCCCCGTTTATAAAAACCCTCACTAGACCCCCTTCTGCGCTGACTCTCTTTTCGGACTCAGCCCACTAGAACCCAGGTGAATAAACCAGCCTTGTTGCTCCCACACAGCCTGTGTGTGAAATCTGTCCTTTGAGTCATTCACCCTTTCAGTGTCATAGTTACATACATACATATACAATACAGACCCGGACCTTGCCCTTGAGAGTAGGAACTGCGTCTTTTCTTCTCTGGGGCCTCAGCGTCTAAAACGTTTGTTGAACGAATGAATACCAGGGAGACGCCATGGTGCCGCACAGCCTTCTGGGAATCGTAGCTCCCGGTTCCGGCCTCTCTTTACGGCGCAGGCGTATTCAGATTATCGCCGCCTCGCTGTTAATGCGCATGTCCCGGGAGGCAGTGTGGGAGACCTGCGCATGCTCAAAAGGTGGGGGCGAGGTCGACTAGGCGACGCGCTGCGGGGCGGGGCTTTGGTGACTCCGGGGACTCAGAGTTGAGCTCTGCCTGGCTGCGGGGATGGCGGGGAGGGGAAAGCTAATCGCGGTGATCGGAGACGAGGACACGGTGACTGGTTTCCTACTGGGCGGCATAGGAGAGCTTAACAAGAACCGCCACCCTAATTTCCTGGTGGTAGAGAAGGATACAACCATCAATGAGATCGAAGACACTTTCCGGTACGGAAGCCCGGGAGGCCTGGACGGGCCCTTCTGCTGCCCGGTGGGAGCGCGGGGAGAGGGCGGAGGCGACCTGGGGACCGAGGTGTCAGACGCCCACGGGGGGATTGGGGCGGTCCTGGAAGTCAATCTGCCCTTCCGGAGCAGAGGCCCAACGTTCCATTTTGGAGCTTGGTGGGACCAGGGCTGTGTCAGGTTGATGAGCTCGCCCCTCACATGATCGTGTGTCAGTAAAGAAGGGGAACAGAGCTTGTGACGAGCGTCACCCCTCGGCCCGACCTGTCCCTGCGCATAGCTGGACGCCCAGAGTGCCCAGTCCTCGACGTTGGCCAGCCTCAGTGCCTCTTCAGGGGTTCCCTACGTAGAGCTCTTTTGCCAGGTGCGCCCTGAGGGAACTACACACTCGATTAGCACCAGTGGGCTCAGGCTTTCTTGTGTTGTATCTCCTTTAGAGGCTCACAACCGTCCTATAAGGGAGGGGTTATTTTTCTCACTTACAGGTGAGAAAATTAAAGCTCAGAGAGGTTAAGGCATGTACCCAAAGTCACACCATGCGGGAGAGGCAGAGCTAAGATTAGAACTCAGTCCCTACTCTTTCTGCCTCTCTTAAACCAGGTGCACACTCTGCTTGTGCCACTCTCCTCAGCCTGCCTTGGAATTTCCCTCTCATTTTCAGCACTGTAGGCAAAGCATCAGGACTGTGTCTGGCCTTCTCCTAAGACCTTGCCCTTCAAATCCTTACTTTCTGCCCTGGGTCAAGGGTGATAGCTCCAAAGTGTAGGTGCAGGCATGCCTGTAATGCAGGTGTCCTGGTGACTGGAATTGAGTATGCCAGCCTTTTATTCCTTCCTTAACCTCTTCTGTAGGGCCCCTGTGCCAAGTCTCAGGAATAAAACACTCTCACTTGTTTCCACCTAAACAGCCCAGCCCAGAGCTGCCGGCTGAGACTGGTTCCTGCTGCCTGGGGTATGATAGGCCCTGACCTGGGAGGCTGTTATCTGCTGATCTCTAAACTGTCTGGTAAAGTGACCCAGGTTGTCATGGGAGAAAGACAAATTTTACTTCAAAAATTTTCCATTTTTCCAACCAAAAGGGACATTAGAGATTATCAAGTCTGGCCTACCCTAATGCCTGGCATGGGGTAGGTGCTCAGTAAATAATTGTTTTTTTTTTTTTCACTTTGTTGCCCAGGCTGGAGTACAGTGGCTATTCACAGGTATAATTATAGCACACTGGCCTGGAACTCCTGGCCTCAAGCAATCCTCCAGCCTCGGTCTCCCAAATAGCTAGGACTACACCTGGCTCAGTAAATAGTTTTTTTGTTTTTGGTTTTGGTTTTTTTGGGTTTTTTGAGACAAAAAACCCCTGGCTAGAGTACAGTAGTATGATCATAGCTCACCGCAACCTTGAACTCCTGGGCTCAAGTGATCCTCCTGCCTCAGCCTCCCGAGTAGCTGGGACTTCAGGAGTGAACTGGACGTGCCCTGGACTCCCTTCTCCTCTCTCCCCACAGGCAGTTTCTAAACCGGGATGACATCGGCATCATCCTCATCAACCAGTACATTGCAGAGATGGTACGACACGCCCTCGATGCCCACCAGCGCTCCATTCCGGCCGTCCTGGAGATCCCATCCAAGGAGCACCCCTATGATGCCGCCAAGGACTCCATCCTGCGCAGGGCCAGGGGCATGTTCACTGCTGAAGATCTGCGCTAGGGAACTCCCCACAGCCCTTCAGCCCCTCCGTCATTTCCAGGCTTGCCATCAGCCCTCCTTTAAGTTTTGAGCCTCTGATTTCCAATTCCCTGCCCCTTCCCACTCTATCGAGAGGCTTGGTGAGGCACTTCTAGGTTGCTTGGGCTCTGCCATTAAAATCAAGGCTGGTGAGGGAACAGGAAGCCTGACCATCTCTCTCCACTACCTCTTCCCTGTGCTGTTACACAGTGTCATTGTCAATGTTAAATTAAAGTAATATTCTTTCTTCTCTCCAAACTGAGACTGGGTGCTGGGAAGGACTCGGGTGGGTTGAGGCTGTTGGGGGAGATTAGATTGGCAAGGATGGAAAAGTTTCTGCCAAAGACCCAGGCTTAGAGAGTTGGACCAGGAAGATTGTTCCAGGAGACCATAACTCAGGGACTGTTCCTGTGGATCAAAGAAGACCAGCTCTGCAGTGGAGGGATGGGAGGAAGCTTAAGTCCAGCCCCTGGGTCCCCCACCTCAGACTGCATTGGGCTGGGAAGGGACCTGACCCAACAGACAGAAGCAGGAAACACAGGAAACCTGGAAGGTTCTAGATCCAGCCTGAGTCCTGCAGGAGGTTTGGGGGCCAGGCTCCAGGCTGCCTCAGGAAGCCAGGCATGTGAGGTCTGCTAAGGGAATGGCAAGTAGAACCTGGCCCTGTGTGAGGTGAGGCTTGGTTGCCAGGTAACTGTCCCAGGGCAGCCACCCTGCTGTCTGAAGCACTCTGTTTACTGTGCTGAACCCTCAGCTGCAGCCACCCGGTACCGCTCCTTCCCTTGCCACCATGTTGAGGCAGCTCAACATGGACACACTGCGGCAAAACTTCTGGAAGGAGGAATATCTGAGGGAGAAGATGTTGCGCTGTGAATGGCACCGCAAGTATGGGTCGATGGTGAAGGCCAAGCAGAAGGCTAAGGCTGCAGCCCGCCTGCCCCTCCAGCTGCCCACCCTGTACCCCAAAGCCCCACGCTCACCCCCACCTGCCCCCCAAGCAGTCCCTTCTAAGGCCCCCAGCCCTGTCCCGGAGGCTCCTTTTCAGTCAGAAATGTACCCAGTCCTGCCTACCACCCGGGCCCTGCTGTATGAAGGCATCTCCCACGACCTCCAGGGGCGCTACCGCTACCTTAACACCCGAAAACTGGACATGCCAGAGACGCGCTACCTCTTCCCCATCACCACCAACTTCACATATGGCTGGCAGCTAGGTGAGCCCCGACTCCTGGAATTGGCCTCCTCACAGTCGAGGGCCCAGACCATAAGCATAAGATCAAGGAAATGTCCGAGAAAGATACATTTCCATGGAGCTCGAGAGTGACAGTGGGCAGGGAGGCTGGGGCATGTGCTTCTTTAAGTTGAGTTGTCAGGAAAGGCCTTTCTGAGCACCTAAAGGCTGAGCCAAGTGACAAGAAGGAGGGGTCTGGATTTTATTCCGTGTTGAGGAAGACAGTGGAGAGTTTTAAGCAACCTTTAAGAGTGACACTGATTGACTTTTTGAAAAAGTCACCCTGACCGTCCTGTAAGCAATGGCGTTTTCAGGTTAGACTGGGGTAGGACAGGGCTGGAGGGTGCACGTAGACAGGTCCACATCGGCTATGTTAAGCTTGAGGTGTAAGTCGGGCCCTCAGGAGCAGGTCAGAGCTGAAGGTGCACATTCGGAGGGCATTAGCATATGGGTGCTATTTAAAGGCCCGAGACTGGGCCAGGTCACCTGGGTAGCTCAAGTTGCTGGCAAATGTCAGGAGGGGAGGCAGGCAGGGGTTGGTGCTAGTAGGAAGGCTGTCCATCCGGCTGAGTCCAGGCCCTCAGCGGGAAGGGAGAGCAGCCTTGGCAGTGGAGTAGAGATGTGGAAAAGGAGTATGCCAGCAAGTGTTGCCAGCTTGCTGGGCAATGCTGCGTGTCCCTTTGCTATGTGTGCTCATGAATTTCCAGTGAACTCCAGCTGCTTGAGTGCCTGTGTGGAAAAGGTGGATAGTGGGAGGTGGTCAAGATTTTGCCCCCAAAATTCCCTCATTTCCCCGGGGATCCTGAGGGAGAAGTCAGGGCAGCAACTTTCTAACAAAAGCAGGAGCAAGCCCCAGAAGGGCTGCAGAAGATAGAAGGAAGCCCCATCTCTCCTGTCTGTTCCTGTGACAAGCAAGGCTGGGTGTCCTCATACCCCTGGTAGAGGATCCTGAAGCTAGGAGTGATGGGTAATGATGGCAGACAGCTGACTGTCATTCTGCTGTCACTGCTGTAGCCAGGCTTCCAGCCAACTGCCTGTATTCTCCCACAGCCCTCACACCTCAGAAGCGCTTTTTATTTCTTCCTATAAAGTGGCTACAACATGGGCAGATTCCTAGGGCTGTGCAGACACACAGGGTTCCCGAGCTCTGTTCTTTGTGTGTGCCTTCCCCAGGAACCCATTCCTGGCCTCTGACATCTTTTCCAGGCCCCCCAGTGAAGCAAGAACTGGTCTCCTGCAAGATGTGCCGCATTGACTCCTTCTTCCGCAAGAACGGGGCCTTCGCATTGCTTGACCCGCGGGACCTGGCCCTCTGACCTTGGCCCAGGTGGCGGGCTTGGGGGAGGGAAGCAGAAATAACAGGCCTCCTGTTGGGCGAAGCTTGTGTGTGTATCTGTGCTTCTCTGTTCTCCCAGGCCCCGGGGCTGCACTCAGGCCTTTCTGAAACTACCTCTGACCCACAGGTTGCCCTCTTGCTTTTTCCTTAACCCTGTCTCCTTTGAGGGCCCAGCAATGACCCGAGCGGGGGCAAGCGCTACCTTTCAGATGCAGGCTCCTCGGCACCAGGGGGCCACAGTAGCTGCTGGAAGTTCTGGGTGTTCCTGGGGAGAGAGTGGCCTGTCATCCCAGATGCCAGAGACAGGGGGCCCCTCCCACCACCCACTCCCTCCCTGTCGCCCCTCACCTGGCCCTGAGGGCCTGTAGCCGCCGGGTCCTCTCTCGGTGCATCTGGTCCAGCTGCTCCCGCAAGGCGCGCCGCCTCCCGGCCGGGTCCTCCTGCGATGTCCAGCGCTGAGCGCCTCTACCCAGACCCGCGCCCGCCTTCCCACGCCCGCCTGGGAGTCACTGCGCGAGTGCGGCGCGCGCGCTTCGAAGGGACCCGGGCAGGGTCCTTGGGACCCCACCGCCTTCTCCTGGAGGCCTTGCCTGTGGCGGGAGCTGAGCCGGGCTAGGCGGGAGCCCCAGGGGGTGGACCCGGCAGTGGCGGTTCCTGGCGATGCCGAGGCGTTCCAGTACCTGCGGAGGCGGCCGTCAGCCCCCGGCCGCCCTCGGCGCCCCGCCTGCCGCATGCAGGCCCCGGCCCCGGCCCCGGCCCATCCCGGCGTGGGAACGCACCCGGAGCCGCTGCTGTTCGCGGTCCCGCCGCCGCCGCCGCCTGGCCGCCCGGTGCAGCTCCAGCAGCCGCTGCAGAGCCTCCTGCTGCGCCGCGCTCGCGCCCGCCCGTGCTGTCCCCCTGCCCGCGGGCGCCGGCCACACGGCCTTCGAGGACTCAGGTCCCTCTGGGTCGCCCCTCCGCTCCCCAAGGGCGCCCCGGAGCCTCGCCTCGCCCACCTGCTGCGCCGCCTGGCCCTGGGCTCCCCCCGGGCCCTGCAGTGGGTGCGGGTCGCGGGCCAGCCCCTGGAGAGCCGCAGGGAGCGCCTGCTGCCCGGAGTCCCCTGGGCGTAGTGCCCCGGGCATCATGGCGCCGGGACCTGGAAGCCGCTGCCCGGCCGGGGGCCTCGGGCCCCGAGAAGTAGCCCACGCCCCGTCCCGGGCTACCTGCGGCTTTGCCGAATCTCGTCTCTGGCCCTCGGTCTTGCCCTGCATCAGCCGGGTGCTCCTTCCCCCGGGGCCTGGGCTGTTCCTTTCCCCAGGCTGCGGGATCTGTTCTCCCAGGCACCCGCAGAAGTCCCTCGGATCGCCCGGGGGGCCGCCTTCCTCCAGGGGCTGTACAGTCGCCTCTCCCCGAGCCACCTCCCAGGCTTGCGGGATCCTGCCTTCCACAGACCTAAGGATTTCCATTCCCTGACTCTGAGGACTCGCCTTTCTCTGGCACTTAGGCCTGTTTTCTCTTTGACTTCGAGCAGCCCCTTTATCCTCATCCTGGGCTGCGTCCCTGCTCTGACCGCGATGTGCCTTCCCTCTCTGACAGTGAGTAGCTTCTCTGTCCTCACCCTGGGAGGCTTCCCCCCTCTGAGCATCAGAGTCTGCCCCTCTCTGACTCTGAGGAGTGTCCCTCCCTGGCAGTTTCTGAAGTGCCACTCTCTCCTGGCCCAGGCTTGAGCCCAGCCCCTCGGGGGGATCTTGGGGTGCTGGCAGGTCCCAGGAAGGCAGGCCAGAGGGCACTGGAGCTCCAGGAGTAAGGGGCTCTCTCCCCTGTGGACTCCCAGATAGCAGCTGATGGGGCCTCTGCAGTTGACGGGGCGTCTGTGCTGCAGGCTCCATGCGGCTCCCCTCTTCCTTCTGGGCCAGGGAAGGAAGAGCACTTTGGGCCCAGGCTGGTGAGGGAATACTCACCAGGGCCACTTCCCCGGGGAACCTGTAGGCCCCAGTGGCTGGCCCTTGCCCGATTCCTGAATTTGTTAAGCCCGTTGTGTGTGGTGTGGAAGGTGCTTCCTCCACCTGGCCGGGAAGGTAGCCCCACCTCACCCAGCAGCCTCCTCCCAGACAGCCCACCCCTGCCACCTCCAACCTGAGAGGGCCCTTGCCAGGACCTTGAACTCTGAGCTTCTTGGCTCCCCAAAGCTCCTGCTGGTGATGGGGTTCAGCTCTTGTGAGGAACCTGAGGGAGAAAGACGAGTGTTGGGAGCCCTCTGCTCAGGCCCCAGCCCCCACACATCCCACCTGAACGGGAGCCAAGAAGCCTACGGAGTCCCCAGGGAATGGCGGGGGGGGGGGGCCCTGAGGGCGCTGTTTGAACTTCAAGGCTGTCACAGTTCATCATTCCACCTTTGTTGGCACAGCTGGCCTGCTTGTCAGGTGTGCCTGCCAACGGTGGACTCCATCTCCCACATCCCCCAGCCAAGGCAGACACCCAGAGGGACCTGCACAGCCTCTTCCTCAAGACCCACAGGAGGCCTCGGAGTGGGAAGGGCCCGTGTGCGGGGCTCCTAAGTCCCTCAGCATAGGGACACCCCCACTTTGTCCTGGTGTGCCCGTCAGGCCCAGAGAAGAAACCCACTGTACACGCCTTTCATTTTAGTGTTATTAAGGAAAATCTTCCTTAGGCTTTTGTTTGTTTCTAACGGCAAAATCAAATGAAATTCGAGAG